TAAAAAACATACATGGATGGAATACTGAGTCTGTTTTGTCTTTAAGGCAAGAAAAGTCCAAAACAACAAGAAATCATATATGTGTGGAGAGAAAGTAGCGTCTTACAGGAGCCATCAAGCTGCACAAAAGATGAGATGGAATATAATAACTTTACTGCTGTGTGTCAATAACACATTGGCATAAATGTTTTAAAAACAAAACATGTATAGATGCAAAAAGACAAACACTGGAATGTTCATATATTTCACCAAGACAAATTAAATAATCTTGCATCTTTAATTCTGAAGCATTTGACTCAGTAATTTTAAGTCGTTTAAGGGCTAATCTTTTCGCTGGATACACTTCTTTTCTTAAAGCAATTAAAAACCAGTCTACACAATGCATACACAGGCACTGCCACACTAGGGACGCCTGCCAATAGGAATATGACTGCATTGATCCACGAAGGGTAAAGTGCTCTAACCAGGGATGGAAACTCCACCTGCAGGACACAAAGCATTTGAGTTAGTGTATTTAGCATGAAAATGCAAAAGAACACACATTTATTTTGCAATAAGGGAGCATTAGTAGAGAGTTTTACAGCGTTTGGGTCCCAGACTAAATAGCTGAGCTCTTCTTGGGCTTGGGTCACCAGGTAGAAAACTAAGATCACCAGGACGATTAGAGGACTGATGAACCTCCATGACACCTGCCAGAAGATGGAAGGCTTACGTCCGGTCATGAACTTGAAATCCTCATTGAACCTGCCACACAGGAGAGTTTTAATTAAAGTTTTGAAATACTTCATGAAATCCTGTTACGCATGACCTCAGTCACTGCCAACATCCGGTTTTACTCAAAAACAGGCACTGATTGCTGAGGCGATTATTTGTCATTTTACAAACAATATCAACATGTAAAGCAAACACACAAAAAGATGACGTGCTGCAAATATAGTTTGAAAACGATCTAACCTGTCTATGCCGTAGATGTAAACAACAGCTATCATCTCAAACAATCCAGTGGTGAGGAGAGGAACTGATCCGGCAAAACTGTCAAAGAGATTGACCCAGTAAAACCCTGAAGGCTGCGCGAACAGGAGGGTGATGAGGAAGCAGACAACACATATTGTTCCTGAAACACACCGGGACAAACACAACTATGACGTAACTTTAGTAGATGAAAAGCTGAAGAACAGGTTGAGTGGACTTTTAAGACCAGGTTACCTGTCAGAGCTTCATGGGGCCAATTTTTAGGGAACACGTTCAGGTCCTTTAAGGGGACCACCACTCCTTCAATGTTGCCAAACAGGGTTGAGAGGCCCAAGCAGAGCATCATGAGGAAGAGGAGGACAGACCAGATTGGGGAACCAGGCATCTTGGTGATGGCCTCTGTAAACACAATAAAGGCCAGACCTGTTCCCTCCACTCCCTGGACAAACACACATCAGTCACAATGCAGATAAGAGCGAACAACAACTGAGGAACCTGATAGATATTAGAAATGTTACCTCACTAAGAAGCGTCTGTATGTCACAAGTTTTGATGTCCAGTCCAAGGACAATGTCAGGATTGGAGCTGTTGAGGTGATTGAACGCTGCCTCGTAGTTGTCTGTAGTGATGTTGTCCTCAGGAAGATTAAATGCATTTAATAATGTCATGATGTTTCTGAAATCACATACATCACAGTTTAGTAACCCTGCATTTGTTGTCTAGTGAGCATCAAAGGACGTGCATCAGAGATTGACAGGAATGAGATTAGCGTTTGTCACTAACTAGACAGCAGTACTAGACCATTATAAAACTTATTTTGTTATCTTATTCTTGACCAAAGTGGTGCATTGACATTGCTGAACCATTCTACAAGTGTGAATTAAGCACTTCACTTCATGCTGGTGCGTTGACACCCACAATAATAAAATATTTGATCATACATATATATTCATTTGATTAATCAGTATTTTTACAGGTTTGAGATTAATTTACTTAACGTGCCTTGTTAAAAACTTTTTCGTCACTATCAAACATTCAACCTTGATATTAATTGTACTTACCCACTGATACAGTTGTCATATTTCTCAGTGGCCCTGAAGCCGATGATGGTGTAGGTGACCATGGCAGCGTAGACTGAAGTGAAGCCAGTTACCACAGACAGGATCACAGCATCCTGCATGCAGTTGTTGCTTAGGAGAACAGACAAAAGGACTCATCAGGTTTGACAATAGCATCTTTTTATATTAATTGTGAGTTAAATAAGATTTTAATTGCTGTGGTTTTTAAACACAACAGGTCTTCTCAATGTCTCTTACTGAACAGGGTTGTAGCTTGAGAAGGAGATGAGGCCTCCCCATGCCAAACCAAAGGAGTAAAAGACCTGAGCACCTGCATCCAACCAGGTTATTGGTTTCATCAACTCCTCCACCTGCAAAAGTGAGGTATACATAGTGATTTGGCTTTGACCTGTTAGATACAACTGTTTGTCTATCAATATTTGAAACATACTTCTGGTGTGAAGAGGAACTTAATTCCACTCAGGGCTCCTTTAAGAGTCAGTCCTCGGATCAGGAAGATGGCGAGCACTATGTATGGCAGGATGGCAGTGACGTACACTGCCTGAAGTCATGACAAGAAAACATGGAGTAATTGTTCATGGAAATCTGTCTGAAGTATTTTCAGTAATGCAGAATAAATGATTATTTGTTGAACCCTTCCCCAAGACATGAATCTGGGCGCTACGCTCAAAGTGCATATCCTAAAAATAATGTTTGAAGAAAGTTTAGAAGTTTGGGTTTGTCTATTTTTTTTTCAAAAATAACAATACTAACTTTTTGCCTGACCTAATCTTGGGGGGGATAGGGGAAAAATTAGCTTCAAGCAGTTGTGAGGCAGAGCACGTTGATGTGTTTTGGGGGTGTGGCTGTGACGAATGGCCCTCTGGGAGCGGTTGGGATGTATCGGTTGCATATTTTCGAAGTGTAGCCAGCTCTTGCTTCAGGACTAACAACCTAAGCTTTAATTGTCTAGCTGTATACAGCTGGTATCTGATGGCAACAGCTTGAGAAGCCTGCCTTTATCTATTACCAGCTATCTCTCATCAAACCCATTTAGAATTTCATACCACTGTTATCATAGAATAGAAAGATAAACAGGTTTGTTACAGTAAGTAAGTGAGGTGAGGCTAACGGAACAGTTTCAACCAACCTTGCCAGAAGTGCTAATTCCCCTTATGCAGCAGATAGCGACTATTGACCAGGCAGCGAACAGGCACAGGACTATGGGCCAGTGGATTCCTCCTGATTCATCGATAGAAGCCGAACTATTCAGAGTCACTCGATAAAAGAAGTAATCCACTGTGGAGCTCTCTTGACACTCGGGTACAAATCCTGCAGGGACAAAACAATATACATGCACAATAACGCAATTCAGCCACTTGTGTGTGCATGTGTATTGTAAATGAATGTATATTCAAATACCTGTCCTGTTGTCATTGAGAGGACACTGGGTCCAAGGCAGTGGGCTTTGAAAGGAATTGAAGAGATACCATATGATCCAGGCTATTAAGGTGTTGTAGTACAGTCCAACCAAGAAGGACACCAGCATGGAGGCTATACCTGCAGGACAACATCATTAACTGTCATATAACATTCACCAGGAAGCCAGAGAGCCACTTTAGCTCCAGAGCTTGGTTTACTTACCAATACCAGTCAGATAAGGGTTGATGGCCCTCCACACTCCCACACTGCCTTTCCTCAGACGCTGGCCAATGGCAAACTCCAGCAGCAGGAGCGGCATTCCCTCCAGCACCAGCAGAATGAGGTATGGTATCAGAAAGGCACCTGGAAAACATACATGTATGTCATCGGTGGTTTGATTTGAATTCTTTAAACATTATGTCCATCTATCATTTTAGGCAATTTTTCCATGGGCTTGGTTGCGGTGGCTAGATGTTTGTTGCCCCATATAGCCCTTTCCCCCGAGCGGTGCTTTCCGGCTCCTCCTAGAAGATCCTGAGGAGTTCAGAGTCAAGATGAGATGTATGATCTGAACAGGATGTTCAGATCATATGGAAGGTGCTGAAGACATCCTCATCAAACACCTGTACAACTGGTTCCTTTTGACACAAAGGAGCAGTGGCTCTACTCTAAACTCCTTCTGGATGTTAGAGCTCCTTATCTTATCTCGAACGCTAATCCCACTCACTCTATTAAGAAAACAGTTTTTAAAACAGAAATGTAGATCAAAGAGCAAATCAAAACCGTTCCAGTTTATCTCTCAACCATCTTCCAGTACTATGCCTGCTGCTTTACTGCTTTAGAATTTTCTGAATTTAAATCATGTGACCTGTCTTTGGCCCGAATGTCAAGCCAAAGCTTAGCCATTACCTCAGAGGACCTCATGCTTAAGAATCATTCTGCCATGAATAAGTGATATATCTAACTTCATTTTATTTTTTTTCAGGTGCAAAGGTTAAAGTGAAATAGATAAGTTCACTGTGGATGAGAAAATCACATATGAAAGTTACTACTGGTGCCTGGTTATGTTTAAAATGGGGAAGCGAGATATTAATTACTTAAGCTAGTTACCTTAAATTAGTTTAAGACATATTCAAAGTCCGACTGAGCAATAAAACGCAAATGCTTTGTTGTTTATCAAGTGTTTATCATTCTCTGCTCATATAGAAGTCTATTAACTTTGGAAATAATGATACGACATTTATCGTGATGATTATCAATATGGACTGATAGGAACATTTTTTATCTTGATTTAATTTTTAACCCTATGGCCCAGCTCTGCTCTACTCTACAGAAGTGTATATAATCATAGACTAAAAAACATGTCATTTTAACCTCATTATTTCAACTCAAAGGTTATTTTAATATACAACTTAGAATGTGACTTTTGCTCCTCAAGACATAAAGGGTAATTGTAGACTCTACAGCTGTTTAAGACCGCTGTACTGTAAACTTGCACCTTTCTTTAAAATTATTTTTATCCAAAGTCTGACAAGAACTAAAACAAAGCTGTCTGTGGAAGTCTTAGCATTTTTCCACCACTGATCATTCGACTTCATTGTTGAATCAGACAGCCACAGCATCAGTCTGTCAATCAGTTCTGATTTAGCCTTGACGAGTTGGACTGAACCAACTCAAAGGGTGGACCAAATGTGTTAGATTTTTTTAAATGATGTGTTTGTGTTTATTGAAAGTATTGAAATGCTCATTTGAATTTGCCGCTCTGATATAAACAATTTTTTGAGGGGATCATATGATCACAAGTTTATTCTTATGCAGAAAAAAACTGAGATGGCAAAACCGTAACCTCACTCCCCCTGTTTGTAAAACATCATAAAATGCTAAAAATTCCCATACATCATGAAAAATAAATGCTTGTTTACCTCAACTATTGACAAATGTATCTTTGAATCATATGACAACTTAATCTCAAACTAATTTAAACGCTGTCTGTCCTTACCTCCTCCATGACTTTGACACAAGTAAGGGAACCTCCACACGTTCCCAAGCCCAATGCAGAAGCCCACACAGGTGAGGATGTACTGGGCTTTGTTGTCCCATTTGGGTCGGTCACTGCCTTCTGCCTCCTCCTTCTCGATCCTGTCCAGATCCTCGTAGTTGGGGATCCGGAGATCCAGCCCTGGGTTAGGTAGCACCAGTCTCATGGCTATCACATGTGCACTGAAGCAGAAAGGCAGTGTCTGCTGCGCTACAGTTATTAGGGGTTGGTGCAGTGTCTGTATAGGTGCACTAAGCGGTGTTTACGGGTTTATGATCTTTTACTTTATTTGAGGCAGAACACAGATTAACCAGTGCTCACACTGGACTTTTATCTTCATACATGGTCCTCCTATACAACCATTGAGTTTAACAGTTAAACATACAATATACTACATTTAGAATCAGAATCAGAATCACTTTTATTGCCAGGTATGTGAACACACACAAGGAATTTGACTCCGGTTTAATGACCAGTTTTCAAAATAGATTAGAATAATATAATATTTGAAGACTGGATGATTTTCCTTTATGAAGAAGAAGTATGCAATTAGCCTATCAATTGAGTCAATGATTGGAGTCTTATTTTGAAGGGTTACAATAGAAAAACATGTGACTCCTGTTGCCAGGCAAAGATTCATAAAAGCACCAGAATGGCTTATGATATTCCACATGATTTATTTTAATAGCACAGTAACCAAACAGTAACCACTAATTCTGCTCTTTAGTCTGAGCTGGGGAGAAAATAATTAAAAGGTAGTAACTTGGGGCTCTTATGGCAGGATAAGTACATGTGTTATAATATAGATTAAAAACTTTACAGCAGTTACTTACAATTAAAACAAACTTGTA